AGGTCGCCATTTGATGTAGAGCGATATACTTGCTTCTTCAAGCGTTTCTCCGATGATACGGAGCAATGTGAAAATGTTGGATCCCTTGACTGGTGCAGAAATCTTGAAATTCATTGCGTGAAAACGGGGTGCCGTAGTCAGACACAATTACCTCCGGAACGCCGAACGTTACGAAAGATTGATTCTGCAGCTTGATAGTGGTTTTCGATGTCGTAGCTTTGATTGCGTGCACCTCAGGCTATTTGGAGTAGGAGTCTACCATTACCAGGAAGTAGATTCCATCTACTGAACCTGCGTAGCCAATGTGAATCCTGGACCATGGTTTAGAAGATCGTCTTGGTTGGTGTATTGTCAGCAGTTGAACACGGTGTGCAGCGTTTGACGTAATCCTCAATGTCGTTATCGATACAAGGCCAGTAAACAAAACTTCGTGCTATTGCTTTCATGCGTACCATTCCCGGATGACCTCGATGGACTTGTTGCAAAATCCTTCGTCGAAACATGCCGGGAACCACGACTCTGTCATCGAACCTCACGCATCCGTCAACTAGGCTGAGTGATTTACGTCTGTGTTAGCAGGGTTGGACTACAGCGGAGAGATTCTTGATGCAGACAGGCCAAACGTCACGGATGTGCTTAGCAACAGTTTGGAGAGTGGCGTTTGTAGATGTAGCCTTCTGTAGTGCTGCGAAAGAAACCGGGACCTTTTTTGTAGTGTCGGAAGGAATGCTTGATAAATCTTCTCTCAGGGTGAGTGGTACGATAACAAATTCTTCCTCTGTTGGTTGGTTTGGTCGATCAGCCGGGACAAGAAATCTGCACATCCGAAATCGTTCGTGCTGAATCTTTAAGTCGTAGTTAAGCATTGTAAGAGTCCTGCGTTGCAGCCTGTTCGCAGTGTGTAGCGGTATGCCCTTATTAGAACCGAAGATGGACAGCAGTGGCTTGTGGTCGGTCAGCAAATATTTGAGGAGTTTCGTCACCACATAGACTAACGAAAACGAGCGTTCTTAAAGCGTGTTGCACAGCCTTCATTTTGCCATCGGAAAACTGATGAAAGATGACGGCACCTACGGCAGGGTTTGATGCGTCTGCTGCCTCGATAATAGGCAGTTTTGGGATCGTAATGCATCAAGAGTAAATTTGATTGAAGTGTTGCCTTGAACTGGTCGAAAGCCTTCTGACACTCGGAAATCCATCGCCACGAATCTTCTATAAAAATTGACAGCGCCTAGGTACGACCGTAATTCGGAGATGTTACTTGGAGGTGGAATTGCAGTTATGGTCTTCACTTTCTCGGGGTCTGGACGGATGCCTTGTGCTTCCACGATGTGCCCCAAGTAGCGGAGATGTGTTTGATAGAAACGGCACTTCTCAGCTTTAAGGTGGAAACCATACTCTTTGAGTCGTTGGAAAAGTTGATTGAGTGAGGCGGCATGCGACTCGATGTCTTTTCCGAACACGATGGAATCGCCAGGTATGTCCGCAATCATTGCATCCAATATGCGTTGGAATGCCCCGGTGCTGACTTCACTCCTGGACCTAGGCGATTGAACCGGAACAAGCCACGATGAGCGTTGATCGTTAGTAGCTACTAGGAATCGTCATCAACCTCGAGCTGCAGATGCGCGTGAGCGAAAATCTGCTCCGGTGTAGGAAATGGATAATGGTTAGGCTCCAATGCTTAGTTGAGCCCTGTCGAGTAATCTGCACAGATGCCCACTCGGCCGTTCGGCTTTCGTACCGCCTCGATAGGAGGAACCCATTCGGAGAAGTCGACTGGCTCGATGATGTTCAGCATCGACCAATGGAATTGTATTGAAGGGAACTGGCCGGTAGAAATAGAAAACCAAACCAAAATTCACGAACTTGCTGATCGATCGATATCGTCTTCATTTGATTGCAGACCGTATCGATGGGAACTGACCACAGCTCGAACAGTTCGATCCAGTTGATGCCTAGTAGGTTGAGGTTGGCAGCCGTTGTGACAAAACATCTTCCTTGAGCAATTTTGCCGTTGATGCTCACTTCGCACTGAAACTCACCCATCAAATGATGCGGTTTGCCCGACACATTCACTGCTGCAATAGTCGGCTTCTTGATCGTAGGTTTCCCAGACAGTTCCAGGTTTGCTTTGAAATTACCGTGATGTCGCTTGCCGTGGGCACGTACTTCCGCTTGCTGGAGTGCTGGGAATTTGTCTTCAAAGATTTACGTGATTTGATTCATGGCTTCTTCTCCTCCCCAGCTTGAACTGATTTTGGTTTGGAGTAGCAGCCATAGTAGCCTTCCTTGTGGCCGATACGATTACACTGCTTGAACTGATGATTCGAGAATGGACAATCCCGAACATAGTGCATCTGATCGCATTGCCAACAAGTTGTGCGAGGTGATTTACCTTCCGTCTTCGAAGACTGCTGTTGTCGAGAATTTCTCTTGTTCTCCTGTACTGCGTGCACCGTTGGTTTTGAGCTTGATTGACGTTCGATCATGGACGTGTCCAACGAGCCGTCGATCAGATTTTGGAGAGTAACGGAAGAGCTTCTGGTGTTTCAGCTTCGATCCGGAAGAGTAGCCTGACTCGTATGACCGCGTAGCAATGGCTTTTGAGACCGCAGACGAGCACCAAGCATTTGAATTGGTCAATATTCACGTTCCTTAAATCGAAATCCTCGCAAGCACGGTTGACTTTACCTCCGTAGCTGATAATGTCTTCTGATTTCACCAGCTGCAGACACTGATATCGCTTGTTGATGATCGAGGTTTGTGATCCGAATATCTTCTTGAGGGTTTCGACTGTGTCATCCCAATTCCGACACAAAACCTTTCCAGGATGCGTTGACTTCCTTGTAGAGCTTCGGCGCCTCTTAAGAACGATTCAGCTGCTCCATTTATTCGCACGCTAACTCCTACAGGCGGCGTTTCTTATCCCGGAAAATATGAGATTGCTAACTTCTGTTTGTATTGCTCCACATTTTGACAGGTTCATTACTTCATCTAAAAGCGCTCGACGATCGTCAAGTCCAATGGATACTTCTGTGGCCTTGCTCTGGCACTACTCCAGCAGTTCTCAAGAGGAGCTTTAATCAGTTCATCCCCAGCTTAGAGTCGTTCCAGATTGTTGACAACGGCATGTCTTAGGCATCATTCACCATCACAAGGTAGTGGTGAGAATCGACCGTGACGAATATATGCAAAAAGTGCCTTCCATCAATCAAACGTGGTTGTGACTTTTGGCAGAAGTGCTCCCGAATATAATGCAGACTTCGTTGTAATACTTTTTCACAATTAGTCTTAGAATTTTCTGGAAATCCTCCAGACTATTTCCATATAGGATTTAGTGCAAATTTGTAATAGTTTTGCTTTGGAATTGCACTAAGAAGTTACCTGCGATTCTCCTGCGGCATTGCTTGATAAATTCCAGATCTCAACCTAATGTTTTAATTAATCATACAAAGCAATGGTTAGTGATTTCTTGAACATAATATCACCATAATCTACAACTTAAATAATTATCCCCGAGTAGTTTGTTTAGGATTCATGGACTGTTACTTGTAAGTTGAATTCCTTCAAAAAAGATTCTTAAGGGCCGATTTACCCCTATAGTTAAACCTGATTCAAGATATCGTCGGCCCAAAAACTTCTACAGCAGACCTTTTGAAAAATGACACCTCATGTTTTTAAGGTAGCCAAAAGGCTTGTTTGAAAGATCTAAATACTATAATAACACAAATGGAAGAACGGTGTAAATTTTCCCAGCACTGACATCAGAACCGAGGCCGTTCCACAGCCGTATATGGTACATCGGGTCATTGTAAACTCACACAACCTTTTCTAAATCAAAGCTTCAGCACAAGTCGGTAGTCCCCTACTAACTTCGAAACTCAACATCGATTTACCACCAGCTGTTCATCAGATCCAAGACAAACGCTTAACTCATCCAGCTTTAACAAAAATCTAAAAAAAACAACAACTTCCGGCGTATTCATCTGGCTCGTCACCCTTTCAGTCCCTAAATCACAACATTCGGCAAATGATAACCGTTCAAAACGTATTGGTGTTGTTGTTGTTGTGATTGTTGCTCTGTTCTTTATCTTCACTTCGATATGGCATTGGAAACGTTTACTACGCATTCGTAAATCTAAACATACTGCCCCCGTCAGTCAGCATAGTAAATATCCACTTCGCCTTTGAAGAAAATTCAATACTCCGAAACCAAGGTGAATGACCTCTATTCCGTCGTTGGGTTGGAAGCTGCTACTTCTGGCAACGAATCTGATGATTTCCGCCGAATTCATGCCAAAAATGACACAGTTCCGGATGAATTGATGATTGCCCACCGGATTCTGCGGGGACAATCCGGGAAGACACGATTCCGGACGTGACTAATCACCGAACGAGCTGTCAATCATGTAAACAATCCTCGCACACTAATTGCAGACGAGATTCCCCCCCTTTGGAAGCAACTTTTTCGCTGGGAACACACCTTTGCCGGTTCTATCTTTGCTAGTTTCCCTTCGGTGAATCCTTGCCAAATTTCCTGATTCCAAAAAATACTCCGCTGTTGACCGTTTAATTCGATTGCAGAACTTTTTCTTCACGTTTGTTGTCTGGAGATGAGGTTGGATGATGTTTCACTCTGTAACTTGACTGACTTCTTCTCTCTGTGCTGCAGCGACTATCCTGAGTGTTCTTCTAAGGCCCTTCGCCTTCCATCTCTTTCCTCTACGCTGTTCCGTAGATTCGGGACTATCGCCATCTTCCGCTCACTCAAAAATCATCATCACCGTCATCGTCATCATTGCCGAGCAAGCAGGCCAGCAAGCAAACGAAAACGAAAACGAATCGGAGCGAGTAAGAAGATGCCGAGAGGTTAGGGATTTTGCTGTCACTGCTCCCAACACCACTGGCTGCTTCTTCCATCTTTCCTCGTCGAAAAACAAATTGGCACTGCTGAAAGGTTCGGAACGTTAGGTACCCGTGCCCGAACCGGAACTCACCTGCTGCACTACGGCGAAACTCGCACACGGTTTGCAATCCGAACCGCCACCCCAATTTTCCGATCGAAACCAGTCTTGAATTCAAACTGCCGCTGCTGCTGCTACGAACTCCTCCTTGCCGTCGTCGTCGTCTTGGCAGTGGTCGTCTTTGCTGCGCCTACTGCCGCGCCAGCAAACGCAAGAACCCAATCCGGGAGAAAAGAGGAAGTTTCCTCGGCACCCGACACGAGACCGCGTTTTGTTTTTCCACAATACGAATACCGATTCGATAATAACCGCGAAATACCGCACGTTTTTTTTTCCGTTCGCGAACACGATTTTCGATCACTGCACTGTTTTTCTTTTTCTTCTAGAAACAAAAATGCACACCACGCACTCGTCTTCTCTTCTTGTGGGGAGAATCGCGAATAATTTCTTCTGACTGATGTCTTGTTGCCTTCTCTACTGTTGGGTTGCTTCTTTTCTTTCTCGGTGTTTGACAGCTAGCGCCAGAAGAAGAGTAGAACACGCACACATCAGAATCCATTACTCCACAGCGCACACACACAGGTCCAAAAACGAGTTGTTTACCTTCAAATCGCGACGTACGGATAGGCAGTGCAACGGTGTGTGCATGCGCCTTGAGCGAGGAATCCCGTACGGAACGGTAACGATGCGGTTGTGTTGGTAGGCGAGTCGTGAGTAACTGTCACAATAAGTCGGGTACCGTTAGTGAATGTTGCGTTTCAAGGAGTTTCAATGTGCGGGCAAAGGCCCGTACAGTAGAGGCAATGAAATTAGGAACAAATGCGATACACGCTAAGATGACTTTACCTAAAATTAGGTTTGGTATCAGTAAAATTCAACGTTGCAAATAGGTAATTCAAGAGCAAATTTTCATTATGTCGTAAGTAACATTCGCACCGATCCGAGAAAAATAAAGTTTTGTTTTGATGCCCGAAAAGTTATTCCTATTTCCAATTAAACACATATAATCTCATAGTGATAGCAATGTTTAACATATTTAGCGTGGTTTTAATCATACAAAGGCAAATCGCTAGCTTTCATGCTAAGAAATACTGGTTTTTGAGTCAAAAGTTATTATACGTCGTTTGGTGGCCCCTATTGTTACTTAAGTCAAAGTGTATTTACCAGGATATTCGGGAGAATTATCAATTACGTCTCCTTACGTGCAGCCCATTCATCATTTTAGGACCACCGAAATCATCTTAGCAACAAACAGTTCGATTTATTCACTTTAATAATGAGAAAGCGAAACGACGAAAGTACACTTTTCACGGGTTTTTCAGTGCTGTTACTTAAGGCAAACGGCATCTCCATAGAAATCGGGTGACTTAAGTAACATCGAAAACTATTTTGATCGGAAGGTGATTACGTCAAAAAGCAATTCGACTGGTAAATAAATTTAAAAATGGGATGTGATCCTATATTCGGACAGTATATAGTGTAATAGCAGGAGCATCGATTGACACTGATAGCTCGACTTTGTTTACCTTTGTTACATTCGACGTAATGAAAATTTGCTCTTGAATTAATACATAAATTGTAGGTATTTAACGTGTACCTAAAATTAACGAACAATTTTTTAGTTGACCTGATAAAAGACTAAATAAATTACAATTACAACTAAAAAAACGATTAGCTAAAAGGCGTTTTCAATGCACAACCAATATAAAGGGCACCACGCGAGTTCGAGAGGCAACGTCAACCAATCCGTTTGTTTACACCACAATAAGGATTTTTCACAATGCAAATTAAATCATTTTTCATTAAACATCTTGCTAATTTCCATAGATGATTGTCTATTAAATAGACAATCATCGATTTTCGATTTTCCTCTGATCTGAGCTGATTTGTACCACAGAGAACAGACGTTGAGGCTCGAACTAAATTTCTGTAAAAACTTGTGTAAAGATTCCTATTCGACTTAAGCGCCACCAACGCCGACTTCCCCACTTAAAATCTCTCTTTGACAATATGATGGCGCTGGCGTACACTAGACACTAAGTGCCGGTAGCGCCGAGTGGTAATTTTAAACCGATATTTTTTCGATGCTAGCGCCAAATTGGTCGATAGTGGAAAATTTATTGAGGAAATCAGGAGATGCTAGCGCCACGTAACGGCGACGTTCCCACTTATCTTTACACAAGTTTCTGGTGGAAGTTGGACGTCTGTTCTCTGTGTTTGTACCTCAATTATACGCCTTTTCAATAAAAAAAAACTTAGCGATCGATTCAGCCTCTGGTGGTAAATATTGAAACGTCAAAAAGAGTGTTGTGAGCAGAAAAGTTTGCCGTGATACATAGAAAGCGGAACATTTTTTCACTTTTCCTGATAAATTCATTCATCTGAGATGCTTCAAAATTTGATCTACAGTTCAGGAATATTTTTGTTGTGTTTTGCGCGCTTCGATTCAGCATTCTTTGCCATCCCGATGCAGCCTCTGTTATCTTCAAATATTGGCACTGGATCGCTCTTCTTCTTTTGCTTCAGGTCCTCCAGAACACCACTCAACCAGATTGCTTCTGAAACCGCTGCACGATGTATTCAGCCTCGCTAGATGAAGTTGACACTGTGAAGTGGAGCCAGAGCGTTCGACCCTATACAATCCCACCCTTAATTTCTTGATGTTAATAATACACATAATCCTGAAGCTTAGCTGGTTCAGATCGTTGACACTTAGAACGTGTCGGTCCTACTTCACCCTTCGGAGTGTTTGTAGTATCTCGATTAGTAGGCAAAGTCTGATCATGATCACCAGACGTCTGATTTGGTAATGGTCTCGGCTCGGGTCTGGGTGCATCGGTATGATTCGGAATCTTCTTCAGATACGTGACGTTGCGTCGGAATTCTATACCTGATTCTGTTGAACGGACAGTTACATCAGATCCCACTTTCTTTACAACTAGAAATTTTTCGGGTGAATAATCGGCTTGCAGCTTATGCTCCTTTCTCATCCTTTTCACAAAAACTCGGTCGCCTTCACAAATCTCCCTGTGTTGAGTTCGGCGTTTCTTGTCCGTATACTCCTTCCCTTTCTATTACAAATACAAATTGTCAGAATCTCTCACCACCTCGTCATCTGCGTGACGAGGAACACGGGGAAGTTTACTCTTAATTCGCCTTCCAAACATCAACGTAGATGGTGGCAGTCCTGTGATTGAATGATTCGTTGAATGGTAGACCAACAAGTACTTATGAAGCCTCCCTCCAACATTTGCCGAGTTCTTGAGCAATCCTCAATAGTTTCAGGATAGAGCGATTTTTTCGCTTCCCCATACCATTCATCCATAGAGGTAACTCTAAGACTAGAAGGTCCCGAAGAAACGTGCTCAACTTTTTGGCTCAGCTCTGGTACTCTCTTTGGTCCCAAGCTAATCGATTCACCCCTCGAAACATAGGAAAATCCACTAACCCCTCATTTACCTGTCAAACTTTCATAGCGAATCAAAACAAACATTGTGTAGTACTAGAATTTCGACTAGAATGGGCTACGTTAATCGTTTGCTTGGGACCAATAGGCTAGTCAAGTAGTGAGCCAATTTAAAATCGTTAGTTTCGAATTGATTGTTGATTCATGTGCGGCCAATACGGAATGGAACTAACTGAACGTATCCCGTATGTCTCACAGAAAACCTTCAACTCTTGACTGGCAAATTGAGGACCATTATCACCCTTGATCAATGCAGGAATTCCAAAACGACTGAATACTATCGACTATAGCAATCTACTATAACGAGTAGATGTTGTCCTTCTGGAAGTAGTCCAAGGTAATCGATAGCGATGTCTTCCCAGGGTCCATTAGGCAGTTCTTTGCGAATCAGTGGTTCAGGAACATCGGGAGCCGATACTAAAATGCATCCTCTGCAGTCTGTTACTCAGCATCAGCGTCAAGCTTCGGCCACCACACAGATGTACGAAGATACGACTTCATCATGTTCACGCCAGGATGACCATCATGGGCAGTATCGAGAACACGTTGGCGTAAAGAAGCCGGCACCACGATGCCAGTACTCCTCCAACGTTGCAAACCTCTACAGAAACAATACGATATGCAATATGCAGTAAGTCTAAAGAATCGTTATCCAAGCATCCATCGAAGCAACGACCAGTTCCGACCACGAAACTGCAACAGCAGAGGCATTAAGAGAAACGATATGTTTGACAATAATTTCATCCGCTGAATCAAATTGTTCAGGGACTGTGCTTGAAAGTCTTGAAAGAGCATCAGCAGCATTTTGGTCACCGTGAATGTGAACAACTTCATAGTCAAAGCACTGTAACCTTAGAACCCACCTTTCTATCCTGGGAGATGAGCGTGACCGAGGCGTAAACAAGTAGGACAGAGCCTTGCAATCTGTGACAAGGTCAAACTTCTTCCCAAAAAGGTAACTTTGAAATTTTTCAACGGCCAAAGCTTCTTTCTCGGTATGACAGTAGCGCTTTTCAGTCTGTACTAGCATTGCCCCGAGTCCCGTTGGACTGGCATCTGAAACCACTGCCGTTCTGTAACTTGCATCATAAAATCCTGGCTTCTGCACATCCGCCATGGCTCGCTTAATCTTTTGAAAAGCTTCTTCGTGGTGATTCCCAAAAAAAAAACTTTATCCCCTTTCTAGTGAGCTCTCTTATGGGGGGTTTACACTTATGCTATTTCACTAGCGCTAATGAGCCAGCTGCTAGCAAAAAAGCTCACCAGAATAATGTAAACAGGGCATCAGCGTCTACCAGCATGAGGTCTAGTTGGCTGGAACACTAGCGCTAGCTAATCCGCACAGATGTAAAACACCCCATTCATCTCTGGTTGCAAGGTCAGGAATATACTTATTGAAATAGTTCGCCAGTCCTAAGAAGCTGCGGACCTCGCAATCGCTAGTAGGTCGACGGAAAGCTAAGATTGCTGCTACTTTTGTGTCAGATAGTGCTATACCAGATTTTGTGATTTATGCTCGAGGAGTTTCACCATAGAGGTAACTCTAAGACTAGAAGGTCCCGAAATAACGTGCTCAACTTTTTGGCTCAGCTCTGGTACTCTCTTCGGTCCCAAGCTAATCGATTCACCCCTTGAAACATAGGAAAAACCAATAACCCCTCATTTTATCTGTCAAACTTTCATAGCGAATCAAAACAAACATTGCGTAGTACTAGAATTTCAACTAGAATGGGGTACGTTAATCGTTTGCTTGGGACCAATAGGCAGTCAAGTAGTGAGCCAATATAAAATCGTTAGTTTCGTATTGATTGTTGGTTTCACCGTAGTTCACGTCCCGTTCTTGTTGCGAAGGGAGTGCAGTGGGTAGCTTCGGAGATTCTTCTTGTTCCGAATCGTCATCAGTGATCTGGAATTCCGAATTTGAAGTCTCTGAAACATCACTTTCATTACTGGTTCCACCGCACTTGCTGTTATCCTCCTCTTGCTCGAATGT